TCAATGCATTTGTATTGTTACGACGAATTGTATGTAAAATCAAAGGTTTTCGAATATTCCACATTTGTTGTGTGTATGTGTTAATTTTACCTAGTTTTGTATAGGTAAATTATTTTCAATTCCATTTGTTTTTAAGTTTCTTTTATAATTTGTTTAAAATTATTTGTTTGCTTAAGACATGTTTACACTTTAATACTGGATGTATTAGTTTAGTTTGTAAGTTTAAAAATTTTGTGGCTGGATGTAATATTTTTTTTAAATAAATACGATATTTTTAACAAAAACTTCTAAAACCTGTTTTATTTTATGAATGAATGGATGCACATTAATAATGTGAAACCGAAAAAAATTAGCTTGTGTCTTAACTTTAAGCTAAAGTATTAAGTAAAACTCTTATTCAAAGTGAAATTTATGATGATATTAAAATCGCTCCAAATTAGTTTGGTTTTGCCTTTGTGAGAAGTTTGTCAATCCGTTAGTAATTTCCACTCATTGTTGAACCTAAAGTATAAGGGCCCTATTCATGGCAAGGGCCCTATTCATATAAAATTTGTTCTATAAACCTTTGATGAATTCTTATGAATAAGGCATTAAAATCCAAAATTTTCATTAAAAAGTATATTTTCATCTCTCATCAAAAGTTTTTCTAAATTCAAACATTTTGAAAATAAACTTTAAAATTTTGAGAAAGTTTATTGCAAGTGAAAATCTCTACCAAGAGAATTACACCTAATTGAATGTTTAAAATAAACACACAATATTTTCGTAAATATATTTAATACACTTGAAATAATTAAAAGCTAAAAAAAAAACAACAAAATTACAGAGTAAAATAAAATTTAAAAAAATCTACCAAACAATTTTAAATAAAATCAATAAGGAAAAAAAAAAACAAGAAATTGATAATTTTCTCATATTTGTATAGATTTTTTTATACAAGCAGTCGTTATAGTTTAATATAATAATATGAATTAAAGATTTTTAAGCTACAGTTTTATTTTAATGTTGAGACCATTGTATGGTCTTTAAATCAATGCCTTCCTGTACCATTTCCCATAAAGGTGACATTTCACGAAGACGTTCAACATGTTTTATGCATTTATCGGCGGTATAATCGACTTCTTCGATGGTAGTAAAGCGACCAATACCAAATCTAAAATATTAATTTTATTAGACTTTCTTTAAGTATTCTTTTTTTTGTTTGAACTAACCTAATGGAACTGTGAGCCAAATCTTCGTCGGTGCCGATAGCCCTTAAAACATAAGAGGGTTCCAGAGAGGCGGAGGTACAAGCAGAGCCCGATGATAAGGCTACATCTTTAAGAGCCATTAACAGGGATTCACCCTCAACATAGGCAAATGAAAGATTCAAACAGCCACTGTAGGTTTGTTCGGGATCACCATTGCGTATTACCTGAGGCAATTCGGACGTTAGGCGATCCAACAAACGTTTCGAAAGAAATTCAATCCATTTTCTATCATATTCCATTTCTTTTTGAGCCAATTCAGCAGCAGCACCCAGTCCTACAGCCAAGGGTGCAGGAACAGTACCACTACGTAGACCACGCTCTTGACCACCACCACTCTGAATGGGTTCAAGACGAACACGTGGACGTCTACGCACATAAAGGGCACCAATACCTTTGGGGCCATAGATTTTGTGGCCTGATATGGACATTAAATCAATATTCATGGCATTAACATCCAAAGGAATTTTACCCACAGCCTGTGCGGCATCAGTGTGGAAGAAAACTTTTTTCGAGCGGCAAAGAGCACCAATCTCAGCTATGGGTTGTTTAACACCTGTGCAAATGGAAAGCAAATGTTTATAATTTTGTTTTTTTTTACTATTTTTACGCGCTTTACCAATTTCATTGTTAACTGTCATTATGGAAACCAAAGCAGTATCGGGCGTCATGGCTTTATCCAAATCCTGCATATCAATGATACCATTAGCCTTAACCGGTAAATAAGTAACACGGAAACCTTCATTCTCCAATGCACGGCAAGAATCCAAAACACATTTGTGTTCAGTTTGTGTGGTAATAATGTGCTTCTTTTTGGAGCCATAAAATCTGGAAAGAAATATGTACCTATATGACAACTATCTTACAAATATTATAACACAATCTCTCACCTGGCTACACCCTTTACGGCCAAATTATTGGATTCGGTAGCACCTGAAGTGAAAATGATTTCTTTGGGTTCGGCTCCTATAATATTGGCCACCTGTTCACGGGCAATTTCAACCGCTTGTTCGGTTTCCCAACCATAGGCATGGGTGCGGGAATGAGGATTACCATATAAATTTGTCAAATAGGGCAGCATGACATCCAAAACACGGGGATCCTAAAGTAATAAAAAAATACATTTTTCGTTCATTTCTTTTCAATTTTAAACCCACCAATGGAGTTGTGGCTTGTGCATCCAAATATAATGGTCTGCCCTCGATGTGATCCGTCTTAATATTGAATTTGATACGCTTCTGTCTAAATTCTAAAAAAAAACACAACATTGTTAATTTTTTGTTTACATAACCTCAATTCGTTACAAAAGGATATTGTTTTTGGTTTTATAATGGTTTATTTTATTCATATATTGTGTCCGCTAATAAATACCTTCTGATGAGGACAATTTTCCTTCTTGTCCTTTAGCAGTTGTTGTACTAATATTGGCCATCCATTGTCTGTTCAATGGTGTTTTTGTCGCTATTAGCGTTTTAGCCGATTTGCTAAAAATTCTTATCATTTTGTAGCCGAATAAACTTATGGAATTCTTTTATTATTTATATTTTTGGAGTGTTGAGTACTTATTATATTATATCTAGTAGATAATTTCACAATAATTACGAGTTTTTTTCTTTCCTCCTTCCAACTAACCGCGACAATTTCTTTATCACTCACGATAATTAAAAAAATGTTGAACAGCTGTTTGTCAAATCGTGTAGTAAACAACAATAACAGTTGTTTTTATTTTTAGTGGAATGAAGCGGAATGGTACAGCAGAGTTGCCATTTTAAAAGAATAAAAAGTTGCCATTCTTTTAAATTTGACGAGAGAATCAGTAATAAGCTATCTATACACTGTTGTCAGATCTTACATTGTTGGCAAAACAAATTTTTGAGGAAATGTCTAACAATCGTGTGACCATAATAACTTTTTTCTTGTAACGTTGTCAAGAAAAGCATTGTTAGTATATTGTAATACAAAAATATTGTTAGACGTCTAACAATCGTCTAAACACTTTACGTTGACATTGTCAGATAACTGTCTTAGAATTTTTATTGTCAGATGTACGAATTTTATGCATGGAATCAATGTCAGAAATGTATTCTATTGGCAACGCGGTGCATTAAAATAATATATGTTAAAATAAGATCTGGCAACTTCTGCCATTCAACAATCTGACAACAGTGTGAACTAGGGTTCTATAAATCGACTTTCGAATAATCGAACAATCGACTCTTTGTCGAAAAAAGTCGAAAAGTCGAAGTCGACTATTTTGTTCCAAAAAAGTCGATAACTCGACTATCGTCTGTGAAAAAAGTCGTAAAGTCGACTTTGTGAATAAAAGTCGAAAAAAGTCGAAGAAAGTCGAAAAAAGTCGATAAGTCGAAAAAAGTCGATAAGTCGAAAAAAGTCGAAAAGTCGGAAAAAGTCGAAAAAAGTCGGAAAAAGTCGGAAAAAGTCGAGAAGTCGGAAAAAGTCGAAAAATCGAAAATTGTAGAAACAAGTCAAAAATAGTCAAAAATTTTAAAAAAGTGGAAAAAAAAGTCAAAAACTCTAAAATAGTCGGAAAAACTTGAAAAAAGTCAAAAAATAGTCGGAAAAAAGTAGAAAGAAGTCGAAAATAGTCAAAAAGAAAAAAAAAAACAAGAAATTGATAATTTTCTCATATTTGTATAGATTTTTTTTATACAAGCAGTCGTTATAGTTTAATAACCTAACCTAATGGAACTGTGAGTCAAATCTTCGTCGGTTAAAAGTCGAAAAAGTCGAAAAAAGTCGGAAAAAGTCGAAAAGTCGACTATTTATAAAATACTTATAGTCGAAAAGTCTAAAAGTCGACTTTTATTTAAATGAAAAAAGTCGAAAAATCGACTTTTCATAAAATGCAAAAAGTCGAAATGTCGACTTTTAACTAAATGAAAAAAGTCGAAAAGTCGACTTTTCGTTTCAACTATAGAACCCTAGTGTGAACAGACAATTTTTATTGGCAGATAAAATTATTGTCTGGCAATGAAATTGTAAGGTTTTCTTACAACCTTCCGAACTGACAATTTGTTGTCAAACATTTTTTTGCTAACAATTTTTCATTGTCAGTACATTGCCAGATCTGCCAACTTTGTAAAATCTGACAACCGTGTATATATAGCTTTGGACATTTTCTGAAAATATTTCTGCCAATGTTGTAAGATCAGACAACCATGTATACATAGTTTCAATTACCCATTATAATTTTCATAAAAATACTTTTTGAATTGTTAAAAAATCTCTTGTATTTGATAAGAAATCGACTAGACTATATATGCTACAGAATGGACTATTGACTAGATAGATTGTAGACTACACTAAAATAAGTACTAGAGTAATGAATTTTCCATGCCTGTTTAGGACAATTTTCAACGTGTCACAGCAGATATGCACTATTCTATGGCATAATAAAGAGGTGACTTCGGTAAAGCAGGTGATTATTTTTGTTGTTATTGTTTACTTGACTGTGAATTGTTTACATATAATATGACATTTTTGAAAGTAAGGTGATTCTAGCACATAAACAAAATATATGTTGTTTTTGTATTGTAGAGTTGAAGTCACCTATCTAATTCTGCCATGCCCCATCCACTATCATATTATAAAGTAAAACATTTCGAAACGCCCTGTTTATAGTTTCTACAATTTCAATAGTTTCTCTTAACGAACTAGACAAGCAAAACAAACAAGGCAATAAAATTAAATGCAAACTTCAAAATCAAAAACTTTTTTCAGAAACGAGAAGAACTTCAAAGCGAGTGGATGCTCGCGCGCGTGTTCTTAAAAAAAGATAATTTTAATTAAATAAAAAGAAAATAAGATACCAGTGTAAATTTTGATATAGAATAAAGAATACAAAATTAATAAAGAAAATTCCTAATTAAAAAAGTGAGTTAAAAAGAGTAGAAATTATAAGAAAAATTATATAAATTTAATGAAAAGAAATAAGAAAATTTTTAAGGGAAAATTCAATAAAATTGTGTTGAGAAGTGTAACAGAAGAAAATTAACGAAAAAAGTAGTGTGCAATATATGTAGTCTTTTTTGTTGTTGCTGTTTGGGGAGCACCCCATCACTTAACAAAACACGAAACCGGGCAACAACAAAACAAATAGTAAAAGTAAAAGCAACAATAATAAAAAGCAGCAAGTGCAAGTTTAATTTTTTTTGTTTAAATAAAAGGGTGGAATCAACAAATAGTATAAAAGAAAATTTATATAAAAATATGTATACTTTTAATGGGGGGAATTATAATAAAAGCCAAAAGTTAACATATGTTTTAAAGTTAAAGACTTTTCTATGTTTACTTTAGCTTAAATGACGTGTTATTTTATTTTATCATGATAAAAATTATGTTAATGTTTCTTAGTCTTTATTTATAATTAGCTTTTCTTTAAATTTTCTTTATAAATAAACTATTTAAAACAAAAATTTAGATAAAAGTTCAGAAGTGTAAAAAAATTATTCTAGTTCTTCCCTTTTTCATCTTCACAAACTATAAACAACAACAACAACTACTATTACCATAAATTTCTTCTAAACAAAAGTTGTTATCATTCACAACAACAACAGTCTTTACCACACATGTCATCGTATCTCACCAACACCCACTTAACAACTACAACAACAACTATTTGAACTTTAACTACAACAACGAAAAAAGTGTGGTGTGATTTTCTTCTTCATTTCTGTCTGCTGCCTATGTTTACATTTTTTTTGTTTTGGTTTTTGTTGTTACATTTTGACGCCTTTTAGATAAGAAGAAAAAAAAGGACGTCTGTCTGCAAAAGCAAGCAAAAAAGTTGTAAAAAATACCTGTTTAATAAATCAAAATTAAAATTATTATTGTGCAATTGATAGTGTATTAATTAAAAATATCTAATTTATAAAAAAATACTAAATAAATCATAATTAATATTACTGGAATTGTATAAAAAAATAATTAACTAGGGTAAGTGTCAAAACTTTTTATTTTTAAGGTCTTGTTCATAATTTTTTTTATTTTATGATTCAACTTTTAATATTCATCTTCCTATTAAACTAATAGGAGTTTCCAAATAGTTATAAAGAAATATGATAGGAGTATGTACTTATATTATATTAAATCCTAAGAAATACACCAGGGCCACTGTCGATCCTGTAGTCGGCTCTTTTCATGCAAAATGGTAAAAAAATCTTTTTCTCTGAATGTACACCAGGGCCACTGTCGATCCTGTAGTCGGCTCTTTTCATGCAAAATGGTAAAAAAATCATTTTATCTGAATGTATCCGATGTTCAGAAACTCTATTTTCTGGACGTAATTCCTAAGAATTTTTCAATCACTGTTAAAAAGAGGTGTTATATTCGGTATAATTATTATACCGAATATAACACCTCTTTAGAATAGAAATTATACTATAATATCACTCCCCAGATATTTGTATATAATTTCGACGAATGTCGAACAGAGTATGAATCCGCATGTTCAATTTTGTTTATTATACCAAGAGGCCTTATGGAATTCTCTCGCCCATATTTTTATTTCAGACAAGTACATAGACTAGTACACAGATTAGTCCATATACTAGTTAGTAGATGAGTCCCTAAACTAGTCACTAGACTAGTTCTTAGACTATCCCTAGACTAGTTCACATACTAGTCACTAGACTAATTCTGAGACTAGTCACTAGACTAATTCTGAGACTAGTCACTAGACTAATTCTGAGACTAGTCAGTAGATTAGTCCATAGACTAGTCCATAAACTGGTCAGTAGACTAGGTCATAGACTAGCCAGTAGACTAATCTATAGACTAGTCAGTAGACTGGTGCTTAGACTTGTCAGTAGACTGATCTATAGACTAGTAAGTATACTATTCACGAGACTGATCCATAGACTAGTCAGTAGACAAGTCCAAAGACTAGTCAGTGGACAAGTCCATAGACTAGCCAGTAGAGTGGTCCATAGACTAGTCAGTAGACTGATATATAGAATAGTCAGTAGACTGATCCATAGACTGGTCAGTAGACTGATCGATAGACTATTCAGTAGACTGATCCATAGACTAGTCAGTAGACTGATCCATAGAATAGTCAGTACTCTGATGCTTAGATTGATCCATAGACTATTCAGTAGACAAGTCCATAGACTAGTCAGTAGAGAAGTTCATAGATTAATCAGACAGTAGACTAGTCCATAGACCAGTCAGTAGACAAGTCCTTAGACCAATCACTCGCCTAGTCCTTATTCTAGTCAGTAGTAATATAATATTCAATAGACTAGTTAATAGATTAGTTACTAGACGAGTCAATGGACTAGTTACTAGACAAAATGTCCCTTTGCTAAACTAATATTGAATGGAACACAACAGAAAACATTGATTTTAGTGTTATCGCACACTGGGGAGAATATCCGGACATTCTCCGTTATTTTTAAGAAAATTCAGAAACTTTGTAAAAAATTGTAATGTTTTTTTTTCCTGAAATTAGATTTCATAGGGAAAATATCCGGGTATTCACCGTGATTTTTTAAAAATTTTTGGAAACTTTGTAAAGATTTTTATGTTTTTTTTTCCCGAAATTCTAAAAGATAATTTAATTTATTGGTTCAAAGTTGAAATACTTTTCAATTTTTAAGTTTAAAGTTGATATTTATGCAAATATTTTTTTGTAAATATTTTTTGATTGATTATAAATATTTAATTTGATTTTCTAATACATTTCCATTAAATCAGTTTTAATAACAAATTCATTCATTTAAATTCTTATGTAGAAATTGAAAGTTAATTTTTTCTATTATTTTAAAAATAAATTTATTTGATAACGTAATCTCTTATTCCTTCGAATAAATTATTCAATTATGAATCGTTGAAAATATGCCAAAGATTTTTAATTAAAAATTTTGCTTCATTACTAATAAGATTTAGATAATTAAGTTTTTTTTTTATAAAAGCTACTTATAAAGTCTTCTTATTTAAGTTTATTAATTTTTTTAAAAGTTTTTTTTTTTCTTTCTTTAAATTTTTTCTCTGAACGCCGTCATTATTAATAGGAAGAGATGAATCATACAAAACCAAGAGTTGTGTAGTTTTTTTTGTATGTGTATTATATATAAATGTTTGTTTTATTTTAATTTTTAAATAAAAACTTTTAAATAAATGTGCTTTTTAAAAAACAGAAAAAAAAAAACATTTTGTGGAAGAATACAGTTTTCTTCAATATTTGATAAAATAAAAAATGGAAATTTATTGATATGATTTTTTGAAAAGTTACTTTGTATTTATCTTAGAAAATTTTAGTAGAAGAATACTAGATTTCCCAAAAATTCGTAATTTAAGATGAATTTAAGATGACTGAATTCAAAAATGTAGAAGTATATTTGTGGTTTTTCAGTTTTATAAATCTAAATTAATTTAAAATAATTTCATGCATTTGTGAAATTGTGTTGCCTTATCAATTTATGAACATTTCGGACATTTCTTTGTTTATATGCAGAAAAAAAACACAATTTCCAATATCTGCACTTACGACCTTGTAATCAATTTCATTGTTCATTTATCTTTACAGTACACAGTACTCTACACTCTAAACTAAAACACATTCAAGCAAACATGCAACATAACAAACAAAAAAATATGTCAACTCAAAAAACAAACAAAAAATTTCAATTAACTCAATACAAATAGAATAAAAATTTATAAAAAAATACATACCATATAAAACCCAACAGTTTAGTCATACAATAAATAACAAAAAATATTACACACAAGCAAAAATACCAACAACAACACACATTTATATATCGTAGGAAAGACTTTATATTGTTTAAAACAGAATGAAATTCGTTATGCAAAAACAAAAACAAAAAAAAAAATGGCAACAGATGTACTTGTTTGCTGCTATCGCTATAGACCACATACTACTTTTGATATGAACGTGTAGGTATGAACCTGTATCTATCTATAAACATTGTAAAGAAAGTTTGTAAAAACCTCTGGGTAACAGCATGTATGTTGTTACCCAGAAAATGTGGTCTAATGGTTTATGAGGATGATGACGATGGTAACGATAGTAGAAAACAGGTATGGAAGTAATGACTGGACTATAGACTAGACTATAGACTAGACTATAGACTAGACTATAGACTGGACTATAGACTAGACTATAGACTAGACTATAGACTAGACTAGACTAGACTAGACTAGACTAGACTAGACTAGACTAGACTAGACTAGACTAGACTAGACTATAGACTAGACTATAGACTAGACTATAGACTAGAGTAGACCATAGACTAGACTAGACTATAGACTAAAGACTAGACTATAGACTAAACTATAGACTAGACTATAGACTAGACTATAGACTAGACTATAGACTAGACTATAGACTAGACTATAGACTAGACTATAGACTAGACTATAGACTAGACTATAGACTAGACTATAGACTAGACTATAGACTAGACTATAGACTAGACTATAGACTAGACTATAGACTAGACTATAGACTAGACTATAGACTAGACTATAGACTAGACTATAGACTAGACTATAGACTAGACTATAGACTAGACTATAGACTAGACTATAGACTAGACTATAGACTAGACTATAGACTAGACTATAGACTAGACTATAGACTAGACTATAGACTAGACTATAGACTAGACTATAGACTAGACTATAGACTAGACTATAGACTAGACTATAGACTAGACTATAGACTAGACTATAGACTAGACTATAGACGACTATAGACTAGACTATAGACTAGACTATAGACTAGACTATAGACTAGACTATAGACTAACTATAGACTAGACTATAGACTAGACTATAGACTAGACTATAGACTAGACTATAGACTAGACTATAGACTAGACTATAGACTATAGACTAGACTATAGACTAGACTATAGACTAGACTATAGACTAGACTATAGACTAGACTATAGACTAGACTATAGACTAGACTATAGACTAGACTATAGACTAGACTATAGACTAGACTATAGACTAGACTATAGACTAGACTATAGACTAGACTATAGACTAGACTTAGCCTAGACTAAAGACTAGAACTATAGACTACTAAAATAAAGGACTAGACTATAGACTAGACATAACTAGAACTTAAGACTAGACTATAGACCTAGACTATAGACTAGACTATAGACTAGACTATAGACTAGACTATAGACTAGACTATAGAACTAGACTATAGACTAGACTATAGACTAGACTATAGACTAGACTATAGACTAGACTATAGACTAGACTATAAGACTAGACTATAGACCTAGACTATAGACTAGACTATAGACTAGACTATAGACTAGACTATAGACTAGACTATAGACTAGACGATAGACTAGACTATAGACTAGACTAGAGACTAACTATGACTAGACTATAGACTAGACTATAACTAGACTATAGACAGACTATAGACTAGACTATAGACTAACTATAGACTAGACTATAGACTAGACTATAGACTAGACTATAGACTAGACTATAGACTAGACTAATAGACTAGACTATAGACTATACTATAGACTAGACTATAGCTATACTATAGACTAGACTAGACTAGACTATAGACTAGACTATAGACTAGACTATAGACTAGACTATAGACTAGACTATAGACTAGACTATAGACTAGACTATAGACTAGACTATAGACTAGACTATAGACTAGACTAGACGACTATAGACTAGACTATAGACTAGACTATAGACTAGACTATAGACTAGACTAGACTATAGACTAGACTATAGACTAGACTATAGACTGGACTATAGACTAGACTATAGACTAGACTATAGACTAGACTATAGACTAGACTATAGACTAGACTATAGACTAGACTATAGACTAGACTATAGACTAGACTATAGACTAGACTATAGACTAGACTATAGACTAGACTATAGACTAGACTATAGACTAGACTATAGACTAGACT